TCAATCAATCAATCAATCAATCAATCAATCAATTCATTAATCTCATGGTTGGGAAGAAGTTACCCTCGGTATCTGAGCCAGCGGCTCAATAAGGCAAATTGAGAATGGGATTCTGTTTCAGTGCGTATTAAGGTGTAGGAGGGGGACCAGCTTTTAAAATATTAGTGACCCCGAAAAAAAAAACCTAACAAACTTTGGCAGGCTCCTGATTATGACCAATCTTTTTTGCGGCTTTCTGGACATGCGGCCTCTTAGTGTCTGTGAATGACCAAAAAACTCAAGAACTGTTAACGGAGAGAAGACATGAAACTCTTACCATTTGTCAGTCCCTGATTGGTTCTTCCAGCCAGGATCCTGATCTAACGGTTTTGACCAAAGGGAAAATGTCATAGATAAGCATAATTACGTCCGTGAAGTGGCGCTACCTAATGCGTTGTCATGGCTTCACCCTGAATTGAGTTTCCCGCTCTCTCGGTTGCTGGCGGACTATAATCGGAACCACCTACTCCCAGCAGCCCTGGACCATTTCTACTGCTCAGTAAAATCGTCCGAAGGCCCATTTACCAACTAAGTACCATGTTTTTTTCACCATCTCTTTGGCGATGAAGAAAATCTGTATTAGTGTATCTGGCCGTCTATATTTTCAGTCAGCATTTATTGATCCAAAAATTGATCGTACAATAAACTAATTGATTATAATTGATTCGCTCATTATCGCCTTTGATGACTTAGTACCACACGTTGTATGCTGGGCGCGCGCGTGCACCAAAACTGCGTGCGCGCGCGTGCAAACAAAATCACGCGCGCGAAATATGCAATTGTGATGTAATAATTGGAATAGAACTGTTTGCTAACGAGTTAGCTGAGCGTTAATTACTTTGTTGAGCACTAAAGATCTTCAATGTCTGCCATAACGCGCTTTTTCTCCCATGTTATGTCCAAACAATCTTTCAACGCACGGTTTTTGCGACAAAATGGTTACGAACTTCTGGACGATGAGCCTCTTGGAGAGGGCTCCTACGCAAAAGTTAGAAGAGCATATTCAAGAAAAATGAAGCTTCATGTAGCCATTAAGATACTCGACCGTAGAAAGGCTCCTGACGACTTTTTAAAGAGATTTCTTCCTCGGGAATTGAGCGTTATCCAACTGCTAGAACATCCACACATCATTCGTCTGTACGAAGTATTGGACACCGGTGACAGAGTATTTGTGGTGATGGATATTGCAACTGGGGGCGACTTGCTGGATTACATAAAGACAAAAGGATTCGTAAAAGAAAACCTGAGCAGGAGAGTCTTCACGCAGATGTTGCAAGCTGTTAAGCATTGCCATGAAAATGGAGTCGTGCACCGCGACTTAAAATGCGAGAACATTTTATTGGACGACAGAGCTAATGTGAAGATCACAGACTTTGGTTTTTCCAAGCAGTTTAACAAGTCAGAGTTTTGCAAGACTTTTTGTGGCTCGGCGGCATATGCAGCCTATGAGATTCTTAAAGGTAATTTCCTGCCGATTAACTCTTAATGCAATGTGTTCTGATCTCAGTTTGCTTTTCCGAACACCCTATTATGGCCATTAAGGGATATTTCTTAAGGACTTTTGACTATTATCTCGGTAAAACGATCATTTAAGTATATCGCAAAAACCAAAAAAATACCAGAGTTGGTGTCTTCCAGGAATTTCCTTCTGATTCTATAGATACCTCTTTGTCAACTTTCTGATTCATCTTTTCAAAAGGTATTCCGTACGATGGTGAAAAAGCTGATGTGTGGAGTATGGGCGTGGTCCTTTACACCATGGTGACGGGCCGGATGCCCTTTGATGACAGTGACATGAAGGTGTTACTGGGGCAGATTACGCGAGGCGTGAGCTTCAGCAAACCGAAGCAACAGATTTCAGACGACTGCAAGGATCTCATTCGTAGGATGCTGAACTTAGATTTCACGAAGAGAATAAGCATTGAAGATATCAAATGTCATCGATGGCTCGCGGGTTCTTCATCCACACAGCGCTCTGGAAGTAGCCATTCGGGACTGGCATGTTCTTCATCAACTACAGTGGACGATTGTTGATGCATAAATCAATCGCGCAATTTACTAGATAAATGTTGTGTTGTTTTTTTTTTCGTTTGATAGAGTAGGGTACATGAAATATTTAGTTGTATGTAAATGTTGAGACGTTCTCTCCATCTCCTAATTTACCTACAAATGTCGAATGGACTTGCAAAACCTGGTGTGCTATACGACCAAACGGAAGTATAAACAGGCTCACGCCTTAGGCATTTTCAAAAAAATAACGCAGCAGATTTTCGTAGTCTATTGTTTCCGGATTTGACATTTAGTTACTAATAGAAGCAGTTTTTGGTGTTTTTTTTTTAATAAAAGACAATCCAACTACAAAACTGTCTTCACTTACTGAAGTTTAAGGTTTATATTGGAGAAGTCTGATTGAAAGCAAAAAAAAAAAACACATTTTTTATGGTATTAGCTAAATCGGAATTTCATTATTGAATGAAAAAATAAATAAAGTATAGAAGAAGAATATTAGAAGAATCTAGGAAAAGAGATGAATACGATCTTCCTTGATAGCTGAACTAAGAAGCGTTCAAAAATATTTCCTTTTC